CCAGAGATTTCAAGTTCAAGCCCAGGCCGAGTGGGCAACTCAGTGACTTTAGGAGACCCAGTCTCAAAATGCAAAAGAAACAATTTTTTAAAAAGGGATGGGGATGCAGCTAAGTTAGAAAGTCTTGGGGTTTAATTTCCAGCACCACTAAAACACAGAACAAAATGCATAACACCTCTATCTCATGCTTTTGTATCTTAATCAGGAGTCTGCCAATCACAACCTCTAAACCACATACTGTCCACTACTGGTTTTATAAATAAAGTTTTATCGGAACACAGGACTTCTGTTCATTTACATATTGTTTATGTGCTTGGAAGCTCCACCCAAGTCAGGCAGCTGCGATGGCAACAAGAGAACCCGCAAAGCCTGGGTCTCCAGGACATGGCCCCTGGCAGCACTCATGAGTGCTGACCTAGGGTCCAAGGAGGCAACATGCCAAAACCCAGCTGCTGCCCTCCTTCCTATGTCAAGTAAGTTGGGATTTGCTTCTGTTTCGTGGTAAGAAAAGAGAGTAACGTCTGGTACCTGGGGAAACCTCAACCTGTAAGCCCTGGGTTCTCAGCTGTTCAATCACCCCATGTTCTTTTCCAAGAATGGGGTGAGAAACTGCAGGGCCCAGTACAGACCAGAAGGACTGACTGGGCTTCAGTGTTGTCTTTCCATGTGTTCTGAGGGATTTCCAAAGCAGCATATAGATACGCTTGAAAACACAGAAACTAGAAAAAGCTCAATTAAAAAAACTTATAAGTGCTATAAAATAACTCATGGACACGTTCCCCATGCTAGATATAGTCAGCACTATAAGCTGAAGTTTCTGATCAGTTAACAAAGTAAAATCCATCCTTGCTAGATGCTGTGCCCCAAAACAATCTCTAAGGGTGACAATGGACGACAAGTGAAGCACAGGGTCTCTACCTCCTCTGGATGCCGTCATCATCCTGTGCTCCGGAGAGCCCCTGGGCGCAGCGCCGCACCCGGGAAGTGCACTGTGACAACCACCAAAGCGCTTCTAAAAATACTCATGCCATAGCCCGACTCGGCATTGCAGAAGCACAGGTGGTAGCCAAGCACGGGAACCATTCAGAAGTCCCGCTGACGTTCAGCTGGGCGTGGGAAGCCACCACCCTCGAGGTGTGGCTCTTGGACATGGAAGAGATCCCGAAGACCTAGGAGCTTCTGGGGGCTTGCCATCACCGGCGCTGCAAGGCAGGAAGCGGCACGAAGCACCTCCCTCACGATTCCGTTTCAGTTTAGGGGTGAAGTCTGCCGCAGACAGCCTGAAAATGCTTCATGCTGAACAGAGGCGCACCCTTGGCTATGGAAGCGACTCGGGAGGCCCCGCTGAGGTCTTACCGTGAAGGGCGAGGAAGCGCTTACGCAAGATGGTGCATTATCTACCTTGTTTATACACCGAATTGATGTAAAAAATAAAAGGATTCATACTTTTACATTTCATATGTTTGAAAAAACACACATATTTAAAATCTAGTCGGTTACCTAACAATCCATACCGCAGGTGAGCAAGGCAATCCGGCGGCAGGGTCTTGTCCTGTATTTCTTTAACGAACTTGCGGGCACTCTCAGGTGGGTCACCGGTGCCGGTGGTAGAGACGACCACTACCAAAGGAGCTGCTTCTGTTTTCAGATCATACTACAAAATGAAGAAAGCAAGTCAGAGACCCAGTACAGTGCATATGCATTTGTGATGGAACACACTAGCCAGGCAGAAGGACCGGCCTGCTTCCCTCCAACTTTCCTCTCTGTGGAGCTACGAGAGCTGCATGGTTGGACGACCAGTCCAGAGGCCCGGTGCCCTCACTCACCCAAGCTGTACAGCGTGGGCCATAGCTCAGTGTCGAGCACACACCTGCTTTGTTGATTCACATCAAGGAATTAGGAAAGCTGAACACGTCCTACGTCGTCCTCTCTGTGAAGTTTTCCAGGGCCAGGCTCCATCGCCCTGGGTTCCCTCCTCGTCCAATCCCCTGCCTTAGCAAGAGGAGAGGCATGGGGTGGGTATAATCAACTCTGAGCCACAGTGCCCTGGGCCAGGGGCTCAGGGAGCTCAGTCAGCAGGGCAAGTAGGCCGGGCAACGAGCAGATGACTCTCCGGAACTGCTACGAGCTCCCAAGGAAGAAAGGGAGCTAACGCAGCAGGAGCGCCTCTCCGTAAGAGAAACGCAAATTAACACAACGCTGAGTCCACCTCACCCCAGGAAGAATGGCTAGCATCAAGAAATCAGTCTATAATAAAGGCTGGAGAGGCTGTGCGGAAAAAGGAAACCTTTCCCAACTGTTGGTGGGCGTGTAGGCTAAGGAAATCAGTGTGGACAGTCCTCAAAAAGCTAGGATTGGAGGTCCCGTTCGCCCAGCTATTCCCCTTCTGGGTATTTTTCCAGAAGAACTGAAATCATCATACCACGGCGATACATGTGCACCCATGTCCACAGCAGTGCAATTTGTCATAGCTAAACGCTGGAAGCAACCCAGATGCCCATCAACTGAGAAACTGATAAAAAAAAAGATGTGGTATTTTTAAACAACGGAGTACGACTCAGCTATTAAAAAAAAAAAAAAAAAAAAAAGATAAACTCGAGGCCTTTATAGATAAACGGATGCAACTAGAGACCAGACTCATAGTGAAATAAATCAGACCTGCAAGTGTAAACATCACGTTGTCTCACTAGGGTAAGAACCTGAAAAAATAAATAAAATCTGAAAGGTACAATGGATATTGTGAAAGGGAAAGAAACTATTACAAGGGAAAGAACCACTGGAAAGAGAAAAAGGAGAAAAGAAAGGAAGAAAGGAGGAAAGGAAGGAAGGAAGGAAGGAAGGAAGGAGGGAGGGAGGGAGGGAGGGAAGGAAGGAAGGAAGGAAGGAAGGAAGGAAGGAAGGAGGAAAGGAAGGAAGGAAGGAAGGAAGGAAGGAGGGAGGGAGGGAGGGAGGGAAGGAAGGAAGGAAGGAAGGAAGGAAGGAAGGAAGGAAGGAGGGAAGGAGGGAAGGAAGGGAGGAAGGAAATCTATACACACAGGATACCTTGGATAATTGTACTGCTGACTCCTGCTGGTCTATTGAAAGGAGCAGTTAATGCTTAATGTTTTTTCTCTTTTTAATTTTATAACTTTTTGATCAATTCTTGCATGCTTATATCCGTTAATCTAAATAACTAATTAGAAGACAATATACAATATAACAACCATTGGTGAATTCCTATTGTTTTGTTTAGTGAAATGCTGTATCATTTCTAATGGTTTTAACTATTTTTTATTCTTTACAAAAAAGTAAAATAAAAAGCCAAAAACACAAGCTCAATGGTCTCAGAAGTAGGAAAGGGTACAACTCAGAAATAAAGAAATCAGGTACCTAAGTGCCCAGGATTAAAACAGCAGGACAACAAAGGAGTAGCCAAGAGAAGACTCCGCTTGCACTCATTTCGTGTTTCAACACACCTAAAGACAGAGACGCTGTGACATGCTCGCCACCACAGCCACCTGTACAGTGCGCCTAACACAAAGGCAGACGCACATGAGGCGTTTCAAAGCTGGGAGACAAGTAGTGGCAGTGCCCAGCTCTCGGGCCTGCTGACGAAGAACAGCTCTTCATTCCTTCAGGACTCCACAGAGCTGAAGGTTTGATGGGCTGTGAAGTGGGATCCTCAGGGCTTCCAAGTCTCAGAAATCAAGTCTGTCCTCTAGTTCCTATGTGTTTCCTTAAAATAGGGCAGTCACCATTCCTGCTTTTGACTCCATTAACTTTACTAGCCATGAGCATAGCCTAATTAGGGCCCAAAAAATTCCCTTTATTATACTTTTTGGGGTGCTGAGGACTGAACCCAGGGCCCTGTACACACTAAGTATGTGCTTTCTCACTGAGCTACACCCCCAGCCCGCACCTGCTCACCCACATGGTAGGAACTTGAGCTAACGACATGAAAACACTACCGAAGGTATATGTTAAACTCTGTGCAGTTTGGGTACATAACCTTGGAGGACTGCGGGCAGCTAGGAAGGAGAGCTAGCTCCGCAATGTAGCTGATGAGCAACTTGTGAGAAACCATTCAGGCAGAGCCCAGCTAAGGTGGTGGTGTTAAGAAAAACTTCCTCATTCACCTCTCTGTCGAGTTAGTGACTATCAGGGCTACTCCTAGGACAGGCCTCGCTCACTGTAACAGCTTTAGGCTGTGGTCCATCGAGTAGCACCGTCCCATAAGTCTGTTTCAAGTCACCATCCAGTGACAGAGCCTGCCTGTCAGTGGGATAGACGGTGTCCTCCGGAAGTGCAGCTGGACTCACACTCACAGTGCTGTATGAAGAAAGTAGATGACTGGGATTATGACTCATCTGTGCTTCGACTGTCTCATTGGTCCAGCCCGAGACTTGTGAAGGTCACAGAGGACAGTAAACCTCAGTGAGGGGACACTGGCAAGCTCACTTTCAAAGTCCCCAAGTGAGTAATACTCTCAGTGGCTAGCCTGTCACCTGGTTGTATAAAGCCCCTGCTAACTATTATCACCTGACCCATCTGGAAAAGGACCACTGAGAAATCTCGACAAACTGAAAGAACAGAGCTGAGGGTGTCAGGGCACACCTATCACCCCGGGACTCTGGGAGACAGGTGCAGGGGCACTGCAGGTCTGGCGTGGGCCACTTCAAGAAAACCTGTCATGAGACAAAAAATAAAAAGTGAACTGGGGATGGAACGCAGCAGGAAAGCCTTGGGTTAGGTCACGAGTCCTGGAATCAAAACAACAACAGAAAACATAAAACATTAAGGTTTTATCTAACCTAACGTAGGACTGATTGCAGAGAAATACTCAATGTACAGACACATAGTGGCAGCACTTCCTGGGATTCAGCCCAGCTGAACCTTCCCCAGATGAGTATAGCACTGCTTTAATTTCTCTCACAAATTCACCTTGCTGAGTGGGATGCTGAGGTTCCCAAGGTCGAAAGCACACATGTGCCCACAGATGTCTCATTTGTCTCAGGGCCACAGTGTGAGCCACGCAGGGCCCCTGCCCCTGCCACCATCAATGGCTGCCGAGCAGCTGCTTATTTCAGCTTCTGAGCCTGCCTAGCCAAACTCAAATCCACACTTCTACGTTTCATAAGAACACTGGTGGAATGCTACAGTTGAGTTACTAAAATGAATTTCTGTTATAAAAAGATTACAGTGGTCTTTATCCTCCTGTTGTGTCATTTAACAAACATTACTTCCCAATCAAAATACTTGGAAGCCTGAGGCATAATGAAATCCACACAAACGACAGCTCCTACCTTATCTGACTCGCTAATACAGTGAAGGTCTGCGGAAAAGCCGTGCGCCCCAGCCTGGTCACATATTTCTTCTGCTATGGCCTTTGCCTGTCCTCGCTGTGTAGCATACAGTAGCAGGAACCTCCTCATCACTGCAGGGGATGTGCTGTCACTACCGAGGTGACACTGAAAGAAATGGGAAAAAGAGATTTTTCTTTTTCATTAGTAGCCTATACAAATGAACTCTGCCTTGATCTTTAAAAAAGAACACACTAATATCCAGACATACTATGAAGTAGCCTTCTCTAAATTTGTTTAATACTAACTTTATTTTTTTTTTAATGTATTTAGTACAGGGTCTACAGGGTCTCACCACACAGATCGGACTCGTAGTGATCCTCCTGTTTTCAGCCTCCCAAATGCTGGCAGTACAGACGCATACCACCATGCCCAGTCCCAAGCATTGTCCATTGCGCCCCAGCGGCGGGGCCAGCATGGCTCACCGGCACCGGGGATGGTACCCTGGTCCCTGCGTCTGCCTAAGCAGGCACGTTAATCTGCTGAGCTATCTGGCCTGCCCTGTTTAATATTAATTTTAAATGAAATGAAACAGGAAAGACTCCACCAAATTACAGAGAATGTGAAAATCAAATCCTAATCGGATGGTTCACAAATGAGACTATCAACTTGAAGAACTTTCCATTTGCAGGCCAGTTGCTCAGCTGTTCTGTTGCTCAACCGCTCTGTCCCTACCATGAGGACTCTAACACCTACCAGATAAAGGGTGTGACGTATGTACAGCACCTGCACAGTACTGATGGCTCAGCATCGCTTAAAAGATGAAGACAACATTTTGTTAAGATTTAGACATCTTCTATATCTTCTTTTTAAAAAAGAGGTAGGCTGGCCGTGGTGGCACGTGCCTGTTACCCAGCTGTGGAGAGACAGAAGCGGGAGGATCGCAGCAAGTTCGAGGCCAGCCTCCTGGGCTATACTGATACCCAGTGTCAAAAACAAAACATAATAGTACAATTTCCATTAAAATTATAGGGCTTCTCATCCCTATTTCATCATAATTCTGAAGTAAAAATTAAGTACAGCACAAAGTTTAATCAAAGTACATGCTCATTTTAAATTTACCCGAGTCAAAAATCTTGGATTTTGGTGAATGCATCCCGGAGACATCTAGGGACAACTCAGGCCGCCAACTACACGTCAATAAATTGCACGTCGATCGTGCAGTCCTCGGGGATCAGGGCGACTCCCCGGCATCCAGGCGCCCGACCAGGCGCGATGGCACGCAGACTCCCCGCACAGGCGGGGCACCGAGGTCGGCGAGGGAAACCCTGCGACCGCAACACCGGCACTCGCCCGGGCTCCCTCTGTCCCGGTCCCACAGTTCCTGCCCCTCGCGGGGCGGGAAGCCCGAGGGCGGGGCCCGGGATCACGCCCACAAGCCGGCTAACCTCCCCGACTAGGAGCCGCTCCGCGTCGAGCCGTCCCGCCGCTGCCGAGGTGCTCACCTGCGCCGCGCAGACCCGCGAACGCTCCGTGCGCTCTCAAGACT